CTGTATATTAATTTAAGAATGGGGGCATGATAAGAATATGAAGACACATGACAAATGTAACATAATCCAGGGACATTTCTGTGGCAATACCTCTGAATGCAATGAAAACACCAAAAAATATTTGAGATTGAGAGGCAGAAGAAATTGTTTTCTGGGGTTTGTTAATACAGAAATTCTGCAGTGCTCAGCTTAGATGACAGCACTGCAGGGCTGACATGGTCGGTGCTGACTCAGAGATTTCTGTGCCATGTTGCATTTTGTGGTGTGGTTGTCTCTGCAGTCCAATCCCCTCCAAAAATTAAATCCCAACTGCTTTAGTTCTGCACATGAAGCTTCCCATAAGGAGTGTAAGCAATTTTGGAGATTTCAAAATGCTTTGGAGAAGACTGTCAATGTTGGGCACGACACTCAGTGAGAGAGATAACTGGGGTCAAGCATCAAAAGTGTTCTTCCCTCCCCATATATTAATTTTCTCTGAGAAAGAGAAGCCCCCAAATTCTAAAACTAAACCAAACCAAGGACAACAACAACAAAAAAAAATGTAAAACCCAACAAGACAACCAAACTCCTAAACTTTCCATTTCTTTCATAGAAAGAAAAGAGATGAGGCCAAATTCACCCCTCGCAGGTAACGCCACTGTCTTGAATAAGCTGGATGTGGAACTGATGGGGCCCATCGGACTCATCTGTTCAGCTAAAGGAGAGGCTGGATAGCAGCATGGGAGAGGATGGAGTTATTGTCCTTTTCCACTTTTACTTTTTACATCTGTTATTCTGTTGGGTGACACCTTGTCCCTTTCCCCCGGCCTGCCAGACTCACCCCTGGTAGAAACCATCTGCCCGAGGACAAACCTCACCAGGGAAGGACACCAGGGAGCACAGAGGTGAAGATGGCCAGCTCCCATTTGTGGGAAATCAATGATGTTTTCCTTTTGATTATAAACTGGAGCACTACACCAAGGTGAGGGAGAAGGTCTGACAGAAAACCACATCCAGAGAAGTGCCCAATTCAATTGGCTACACAAAGACATTTTGGGTTATTTTGGACACCCATAGGTCTCTGCCCAGGTTTATGATCTGTGTGGGTCTTAGGCCATTGAAACAACATCTGAACCCCAACAGGACATTGTAGAGCACCTGTAAAATGTCACCAGATGTTTCTATTATTGATTGAAATGCCAAGACCCTTCCATAAGTAATGTCCTGCTGTTTTCATGGGAGAAGCTGAGGCAGAAGGCAGCTCTGGGTGGCATTGAGACCATCTCCTGTAGGGAAGGATGGCACCTCTGGGTGGCATTCACACCATCTCCTGTAGGGAAGGATGGCACCTCACTCATCACTGGCTAAATTTTCTCACTGGTGCAGTGGAAACCCTGACTTGAGACACTCAATGTAGGCAGTGGAGAGGGATCTCAGTTTTCCAAAGACACCTCCCAAATTCACGTGCAGCAGTGAGCAATGGCCCAAGCCCCCTCTCCAAAACCATGGGCCCAGCTCCCAGACCCCTGGCAGGCTCCTTTCCCCCCTCAGGGATGGGGAGTGTCACACCCAGGACTGGAACCCCCTGGGTGTGCTCAGGATGATGAACAGAATTCACTCAGGCATTTTTCATCGACTTTAGTAGCAGCTGCTCAGCCCCTTACATTGGATCACCACAGGGATGATTAATTACATAACAAACCCAAACAAGCACCCACAGGCTTTGTTAAAATCCCCTTGGATGGGGAAGAGTCCCCAACCACTGAGCTGGTTCCAGCCTGACCCCAGCTTGGAGGGAAGGGGGGATGATCATCTGCAGCCCATCTCAGATGATGATCAGGTTGTAGCTTCACCTCCTTGACTCATGGTGGATTTCACCTCATCAGTCTGGACCCATGGAAGAGCTCACAGTCTGCTCTGAGCTCAGCAGCTGAAGTCAGAGATACACCCAGAGGGCACTTAACCAAACATCACTTAGGTACCATCCTAAATACCATGAATCATCTTCTGGGTTTGTTTCTTGCCATCGATCCCAGCAGAAAATTAGATAAATAGCTTAGACCGGATGAAATAAATCCCACTGTTGCAGTCCAAATGTGTTCACCTCTAGAGGCAATTGCTCAGCAAATGCCCAGTTTCAATTTTTTTTCCCCTCTGCTTCCCAAAAAGCTTCACCTGCTGGTGATGCTGGGCTTGTTCTGGTGCAAAAGCAGAAATAGTGGATTTGAACATGCTGTGGATGGGCTGGGGGCAGATTCCAGCTCCCACATATGGGAACCAAATCCGGCAGCCCATTCCTTCACTGGTGTGGTATAAAAGAAGGAGTTTGAAACCACTTGGCTGAAAAATCTTAGGGTAGAACCAGTTGTGGGTGGGACCCCGCTGAAGTCAATGGATTGAAGGGACTGTGGTGGCCTGCGGTGATTTGAATTTCCACTGTTGTGTCACCATTTATTGGCAGAAGTTCCTGGCAGGACGTGTCTGACATCTCTCATTGTGGCTGCTTGCGCTGCATCACATTAAGTAAATCAGATGTATCTTCCCTTATCCCATCCTCTCCAATTTATCCACGTCTTCCACCCCTTCTGTGGCTTTCTGGAGCATTTGTTTTCCTGACAGATTGTGTTTGAATGTTGGTTACAGGTGCAATCTCTCCCTGCAGTGGCTTCCTTCTCTATTTCCCATGATTAAGTTTTCCTTTTCTCCAAGACTGCATTATGAAAATCAGTTATACATCCCTTAACTGATCTTCATTTAAGTTTTCAGTGACCTATTGCCTTCTCCACATGGTGTGTGGCATTGATGATGTGCAGTGTTCACACGGACAGGTGTCACAGATTGATTTTCTCCCCATATTTTTCTTTGCTTCTCTTGATCTCCTCTCTCCTTCTGCTCTCATTTCACTGCAGCTTTTTTTTTTTTTTGCAAAGCACTGATAGAAGTGCCTCCATCAATAAGCAAATCTTGCTTGTGCCCTTGGGCACAGCCCTGAGACAAATGGGTGATGCATAAACTGCACCAGCCTAGGAGTAGTCCCAGGAGACGCTGTGAGTCAGAGCCAGCCCTTGGAGGCATCATTTCCTCCTGTTTTCTCTCTGATGGGATTAAGCTCTGTTTGTTCCCTTCTTCTTCTGCATACTCCCTCCTTTGGTTCCTGGGAAAAGGCTGACACACACACAGAGAGCAGCACTCTGATTTCTCTACAAAGACTTCCAGGAGTGATCCAGTCAAGGGCCATGACTACCTTGCCATGAAATGGGAATTAACTCATGCCCTGTTTCCCTTTCTGTGCTGAAGAGACGGAATAAACACCCATCCATTGTCCTTTTTCCAGGGTAGGAACCCAAAAGCAGGGGTGAGGCAGAGAGGACACAGGGCAAGTGCATCTGGGGCTAAAACAGGCTGTGACTGTGCTTGGTTCACCCCTCATTTACCCCAGTATTGACCAGGAATAGCCCAAGCAGGGTTCCAGTGCTGTAAACACCAAGGTGGTGGGCTGAGCTCAGGCCTGATCCCCTGCAGGAATTCCTGATGCCCATGGAGGAGGTGAGACCTGTTTCTGTAAGCTGTGAATCCTGACCTGGAGTTGGAAGCAGAGCACCGTGCAAGGATGGGCACTCAGGGGTGAGCAGAGCAGCAGAGATGGGCCAGCACTGCAAAGCTGGGGTTTGGCTCTGTGTCCAAACCTACCCAAACTCTGGGCTGGTTCACACTCTGGGTTTTGTCCATTTTAATCTGTGCCACTTTTACAGGAATTAGCTGTGGAACAAGGTTTGGCTTGAGTCTGAGACTGCTCCAGCTTGTGGGGTGTGGTGGTAGTGGTGAGCTGCTTCACCCTCGTGTCAATTAATGGGTGACAATGAGTCCTTCAGATCCATGTTCCCAACAGACCTTTGGGCTCAGGCTGCTGCCAAGTGCCTGGGAAGCCTGCATCAGGTGCAGAGAGTGGAAGAACTAAGTGCACTTTCCACTGCTGGTGACAGACCTCCCCAACCAGGTAGGAAGGGTGAGCACTTTCCCTTGCCATCCTTTCCCTGGGGTGCTGAGGAGATGGATGTCCCGTGCTCAGGAGTGAGTGAACAGCCCCAGAGACTCACTGCACCACGTTTCCAAGGAAAACTCACTGGCTGAGCCACGTGCCAGGCTGGAGAGCTGGGGCAGCATTCCCAGCTGTGGGACCGCGTCCTTCTCAATGCACAGAGTCCTCTTCACTTCACACACAAGACACTGAACTTTTCCATACTGTGCACATCACCTGTGTGCCAACAGGGAGTTTACAGGAAGTCATCAGCAGTTTTCTCTCTTTGTCTCCCTCCTTCCCTTTCTACAGATGTCACAGGATTCTATGTCCAATCTGGCAGAAGCTACTACGCTAAAAAGTTCACATCAAGAGCTTGCCCACTCTCCAGCTCTGTTAGATATTTGTAGACTTCTCTGGTTCCAAGGCAAAAGCAAAGAAGTAGTCATGTTTTTTTATTTTAAAAATCCTTAATTTATCTGCTTTTATTTCTTTTGCTGCTGTTGCTCACATCACACAGTCTGGCCATTCGGGTTTGCAGAGAGATCTCTCAGAAAGCCCAGTGCTGCCGTTCAGCACAGCCTCTGCCTGGCTGAGGGAAAAGGAGATGCTTAGGAAGATGCAAGTCTTTCAAAGGACACTTAATCACACGAGTCACTTCAGGTGGGTGGGAGCAGAGCAAATCCATGCTTTTGCTAATGCTCTTCATTCCAGCTCGGTGTTGTGGGCTGGTGGAAAGAGCTGCTCTCCTTCCGGAGGCATCGGCGTCGGGGCAGAACTTGTGTGACTGCCAGATGTACCTCGGGATAGCCCAGAAGTCATTAGACCTATTCTATCCAACCAGTTTTAGCCTTTTTATTTTTTAAATTTTTTTGTCCAGTTTTAATTCTTTTTTAATATTGAAAAAAAGTAGACTTCTCTCACGTCTGCAACCTCAGAGGAAGTAGGCTCAAAAATCCATTTCTCCACTCGGAGCCCGGCCAAGGGGGGTTTTAGGCCTGATTTATTTGCACGTGTGGACGTCGTAGACTCGTATGCACTCCTGGCAGCGGACGTAGCAGCACCAGTGGAAGATACAGTGACACTTCTCTTTCCTTTTCTCAGTCCTCGTGTTGTGCCCGCGGCCGCAGCACAGAAGGTCACAGCCGTCGATGCCGTGGGAGGTGACGTTGCAGATCCTGTCGCGGGTCCCGAAGGAGCCTGTCTCGGGGTTGGGCTCGCAAAAGTTTGGCGAGTTCTCGTAGTAGACCAGGTCCTTCTCAGTGGGGGCCTTGAAGAAGTTGTATTTGGGCCGCAGGGTCTCCACCCAGCCGCGGGATTCCCGGTGTTTCTCCACCACCATCTCGGACGCGCTGTCGTACTTGTCCTTGAGGTAGTCGCCGATGACCCTGAAGTCGGGCTGGGACCACCAGCAGGTCTTCACCTCACAGCTGCCCGAGAGCCCGTGGCACTTGCACTTGAGGTGCATCAGCTCAATGATGGACTGCAAAAGAGAAGAAAGGCAAAGGAGAAGGAAGACGTTAACTGTGGCTGTGTTCACAGGGGTCTTAGGATGAGGGATGAGACGTAGATCTGACTCCATGTTTCAGAAGGCTGATTTATTATTTTATGATATGTATTACATTACATTTCTTCTATTCTTCTAAAAGAATAGAAGAAAGGATTTCCTCAGAAGGCTGGCTAAGAATAGAAAAGAAAGAATGATAACAAAGGTTTGTGTCTCGGACTCTCTGTCCGAGCCAGCTGGCCTGTGATTGGCTATTAATTATAAACATCCAAGATGAGCCAATCAAAGATCTACTTGTTGCATTCCACAGCAGCAGATAACCATTGTTTACATTTTGTTCCTGAGGCCTCTCAGCTTCTCAGGAGGAAAAATCCTAAGGAAAGGATTTTCCATAAAAGATGTCTGGAACATCTTTAACCCGTAGTTAAAACTCTTTATGACATTCTGCCACTTGGCCATGATCTTCCAAGGAATTATGGATGTTTTCATAGATATATTTATACTCTTGTGAACAAAAACCCTCTTATCCCTCAGTCACTGCTGGGTCTAAACCATAAAACTTCTGAACTTTACTTTTCAGTGACTGGTTCTGACTCCCAGCTCAAATTTAAGGATTTACCAAAAACTTTCACCAAGGAGATTCATTAACTTCTGTCTTATCAATGTTCATGTGGGAATATTACAGTGCTGTCACACAGGAAAAGAATTCAAACACATCTGGGCAGAAAAGCAAAGAACACACAAAGCTTCTCAAACAATGCCTTCATAAATGAAAATAAAAGGAAATAAAACGAAGATGAAATGTCCTAACTATCTAGAACAGAACTCCATCCTTTACATATGTTTTGTGTTTACTTAAGCAAACAAGGTTCAAACCTTGCTACGGCTACATTCAGAAACTGAAAAGGGATTTGTTTTTATTTTAAAGCCAGGGTTATGATTTTTCTAAAATCACTTCAAAGGACAAAAATAAAAAAAAGAGCTCTACTTTTGATTTTAAAGGCTCAGGCTTCAAAACAAAACACTCTCCTTGGATAAATGGAGGGTGATTATTGATCCCAGAAGCTTTGCTACTTGTTTTTATCTCTTATATAACGAGTTTAAATAAACAGAGGTGTTGCCCTCCAGTACTCTGGGGTGGGAGACAACCTTATGCAACTTGATAATCTGCATTTCCAGAGCGATCAGCAAATTTCTGGGTACGTGAACAGGCGAGTGCCAGCCTGAGTCCATGAGATTTGCCATGAATCAGCACCTTGGTGCTCACCAGGTGTTTTCCTGTGTTATTTACGGAGTATCACCCGCCACAGAGCTGGCTGCAATTAGCGAGGAGGGAGAACCGCAGAAGGTTTTGCTCATATAATCACCCTGAGCTTAATCAAAACTCCTGGAGGAGCAGTGGGGTTGGAGTTCCTGTGGGAACTGATAGGAAACATTGCCCATGGCTCTGGTTTAGCTGGGAACACTCAGGTATGGGGGCCTGGAAGAGCTGTCCCGTGGGTGCTGGCATGGTGAGGATGGAAAACACCAGTGCTTTCTAAAATACTGGGATTTCAGGTCGTGGTGTGACATATGTGGGATTTCAGATCATGGTCTGACACCTGTAAAATGTCCTAGAAGAACTCAGAGTCAAGGAACAAGACTTAGAGTAAAAAGACCTCTGCAGCCCTGTGATCACAGGGATGGTTGTGTCACAGACATATTTTATGAAAAATCCTTTTGCCAAGATTTTTCCTCCTGAGAAGCTGAGAGGCCTCAGAAAAGAAATGTAAACAATGATTATCTGCTGCTGTGGAATGCAACAGGTGGATCTGTGATTGGTCTCCTGTGAATTGTTTCTACTTGATGACCAATCAGAGGTCCAGCTGTGTTGCGATTCTGGTCACTCACAAGATTTTATTATTCATTCTTTTCTAGCCTTCTGATGTCTCCTTTCTCTTTCTTTAGTGTGGTTTCAATATATCATTTTCTTTTTATATAATATGTATCATAAAATAATAAATCAGCCTTCTGAAACACAGAGTCAAGATTCTCATCTCTTCCCTCATCCTGAGGACCCACAAACACCACTATGTTTGTTTGTTTTTTTCCAAGGATTCTCACTTTAAAACAAATTCTCGCTTAAAAGGAAATCCCTCCTTTCCAGAGCTTCTCCCCAGCCCTTTTTTTCCCACTACATATCCCAGTAACTGCCACCAGCACTGCCCCATCCCTGGTGGTTCCTGGGGTAATTTAGGCCAGAGCTGGAAGAAACCACATCATTGCTTGTAGTCGTCTCCATTGCAGACAATTTTGGTTTCTGGTGGTATTTCCCTTTCAGAAGTTGTATTCCAACAGCTCTGCTGTGGTGTGAGGTGGGATAACACCACTGGGAATTCACAGCATCCACTTCAGGCGCTCTCAGGAAACCCCAACCTGCCTGAGGACCTGTGGCTTTGGTACAGCTCACTGCACAAATGTCCTCCTGGATATGTGCAAGACCTGGGGACAAGACCACATTAACCTGTGCTTTCTTATCTCAGAAAAGCTGTGGCATAATCTCTGTTAGAAAGGGCTCTGTGGTTCTACAGTTCCACAAATTGTTTCCCACAAATTACATTCTTCCGGATTTATGGGCTATTCTTGAGATGGAAAAAAAAAAAAAAAAAGGAATATCCCCCTTTTGGGATTATTCCACCTAGGGAAAAGATTCAGGGCATGATCCAAGTTTAATCAGGAGGCACCAGAGTTCTATTGCCTCTAATTTTGTTAAAATATTTCCTGGGAAATACAACAGGGTTGAGAAGATGGGTTGTGGGAAAAGCTCTCCTGGCTCTTCTCCTCCCTCAAGGCTGCAGAGAAGGGGAATGGACAATTGCACCTGAACTTCTGGTGCCCCACAGTCAATGGAAGGGAACAGGCACAATTAGGACATTATTAAGTGAGTTAATAACTCTAATAGTGGAATCACAGAATTATGTGGGTTGGAAGGGACCTTAAAAATCGCTCAGTTCCAACCACCCTGGAATGGGCAGGGACACCTTCTGCTAGCCCTGTCCAACCTGGCCTTGGACACTTGCAGGAATGGGCATCCACAACTTCTGGGGGTAGATATCCTCCTAAATTGGGATGAAATCCCACCTTCTGGGGGTAGATATCCTCCTAAATTGGGATGAAATCCCATCCTACACCTGCCTTGATCCATCCTCTATAAAAGAGATCTGGACAGATGACTCCAAGGCAGGTGTTTACATGCGTGTGGGTGAATTCATGTGGAGCCTTCACAGACCAAACACATTGATCTAGAACTATCACAGACAGGTATTACCAATTTTGTGAAATTTGCCCAGATTTAGGTCTTTTGAGCCCCCTTAATCCCCTCCCACCACTCATCCTCTCAGGTGAGAAAACACCAACAGGAAAGGAGGAGATGAAACGCCCTTACCGTCCTTCCAGCCTCGTTGTTGTGCCGGTTCATGGCCGAGCGCGCGTCGGGCCGGTTCTCCCGCGCGTCCGCGAACTCCCGGGACACCATGCTGCCGAACTCCACGTCCTCACTGCAGCCTCCCCACTTCCAGCCCTCGCCAGGAGAGCCCTTGTGGCGCGTGTCACACCCGCAGATGGTGGCCGAGCCCTCGGCACAGGACCTGGTGACAGCGAATGCCACCCCGGCGGAGGCGATGGCGTGGACGAAGGCTGATTCCCTGGTGGCTGCGAGAGAGAGGAAACATCACTGGGATATTTTATGGAAAATCCCTTCGCCATGATTTCTTCTCCTGGCAAGATGAGGAGCCTCAGCTTCTCCATGTTTTGCTCCTCTGGAATATGATTTGGAGAATTTTTACCCAGCATGTGAATTGTTTTTACTTAATAACCAATCCCAATCCAGCTGTGTCAAGATTCTGATCAGTTCAGTCACAGGTCTTTATTATTCATTCTTTTCTAGCCTTCTGATGTCTGCTTTCTCTTTCTTTAGTGTAGTTTTAGTATATAATTTTCTTTTCATATCATATCATATCATATCATAGCATAGCATATCATAGCATATTGTAATAATATAATATAATGTAATGTAATATAATATAATGTAATGTAATATAATGTAATGTAATATTAGATATATAATATAATATAATATAATATAATATAATATAATATAATATAATATTCAGGCCTTCTAAGAACTTAAGAGTCAATTCTCATCTCTCACCTCGTCCTGGGGACCCTCACAACACTACAACAAGGAAGGGTCAGTGAAGAATGGATTTGGTCAGTGCTGTGAACACTTTCTCTGGAGGGCATGGCAGAAGGCCAGGGAATCCTCCTCTTCCCTGTGGTCTGGCTTGGACTTACTCCAAAGACTTTTTTTTTGCTAGGAAATGAGTTTCTGCACAGACAGGACCAGGCTTGATCCAAGGCCACTGAGGTCAGCCAAAAAGTTCTGACTGGGGTCATCCTCAGGTCTTTGGAGAGGGCATAGGCACCACAGACAGCTGTGCAAACCTGAATTTCAGGGGAATATTCTATCTGGTACTGTGCAGCCAGTGCACCACATAGCCAGACCCTGAGCTGTGGGCTTTGCTTCAGAATTTGGGTATGTTCCCAAAAAAATTAAAAATGCAGGTTTACACTTTGCAACAACCTGGGACCAGCACCAGGTAACGCTCCCCTTCCTTGACAGGGAGAGGTGCTGGTGGCAGGAAGGTAGGAAAATGCCAGGATTGTCACATCCTCAATCCTCAGGATGTGAACCAAGCCTTGTCCCCTCCCTCCATCTCTTTTCCCCAAGGCTGAGTGTTTTAATCAGTGACAGCACTCAAAATGCACCTTGCACCCGCCCCAAGTTTTCCTCCCTTGCCTGATCAAGGCCCCTGCCAAGGGGGGCAATGTATGGAAATGAGGGAAATGAGCTTTCCCTTGTGCCCACAGGCTCAGGATGGAGAGTGGGATCAGCAGAATGATCCCACCAGAATCACCAGGAGATGGCATGGCCAAGGACTGAGGAGTTTTAGTCTTTGTGGAGAACTTCCCTCACAGCCTTCCATCCCAGGCAGAGCTGGGCAGGGAAGGCTTTCCTGGATGCCACAGCTTTTTCCACACTGTGCCAAAAGGAAAACCAAACTTTTCAAACTGCTTTGCAAGTGGGGCGCACCCCAAGGTATCAAATTTATTTCTCTTTCTCTTTGCAGTTTTTGATTTATTCACTCACAAGAAATGACCCCACAGTTCAACACCACACCTCAGAAAACACCAGAAGGATAAAAATGGGATTTTTACCATGAACAGGGCTGCTCTCAAACCCTGGGGGCAATTCTAAGCAGGCACAATGGTTCTGATAACAGGTCTCCCTTAACCTCCTGTATTATTCCCCACTCACCTTGTGCTTACAGACCAGTTATCCTAGAAATTGTGTTCTTTCTTACATTTTTTAGATTATTCTGCTGGGACATTGAAATATTAATGGATCCATAAAGTCACAAGGTCACATTTTCAGTTGATGCAACTTCACCAAAGCTTCTACTGAGCTTTGTATCACCTGACTTCTCAAAAACCATTCAAACCTTCCCTGCACCATATTTTGCTGATCTGAGCTTTCCCTGGGCATTTTGGCTTAATCTTTGCCTTCCAGATGCTTCCAGGCTTTGCTAATGTGAAGAAAGTTTAATGTACCAAGCCAAAAACTCAACATGTTTTTGGGGAGCAATCACGACTGTGGGGCAGTCCTGGCTGGATTTTAGGCTTAAGCAAGAGCTCAAGCTTTGCTTTGGGACGGCTACCAAACACAACAATATGCAAATCCCATAATGTGCATGACCTTACAGGCTGAAGGGATGAGCAATGTCCTGGAACATGTTTGCCAGGGCACTTGGGGAGGTTATTAACTCACCGAGGGCTACAACCAAAAGAAAAAAAAAGAAAAGGAAAATGCAGGAACACTGAGGTCGCCAGTGTGATTTTGAAAAACCCTTGTTCAGCATCTGGCCAGCCTGGAGGATGCCGGCATCCTGCAAATGATGACCATGCAGTTCTTGATTGTGAAAGCTCAGCTTGGAGCATGGACAGGAGAGCCCCGTTCACACAGGAATGGGGACTCTGCATCTTGCACTTGCCTAAGTCCAGGTGGGATCCAGAAACCAAATTTTGGGGGTCCAGCGCTTCATATGAGGTCTCCAAGAACATTTCTGACCAGCTTTGGGGTCTCTGAAGAATGAAGGCTCCTCACAAAAGCCAGTGAGGTGAGGTGAGGGGTGGATGCTATGATAATCTGGTGGGGAGGTGGATGGGGCAGTGTCTGGCCAGGGAAAGGCTGACACACCTCGAAATCTTTCCATAAAATCACAGAGTGGTTGGATTGGAAGGTCCTTAAAGGTTCCAGCATTCCCATTTTTCCTACTCGGAGCTACTTTCACCCCATTCCCCACCCAGGCTGTGTTTGGGATTGGGGTGGGCCTGACCCTTGTGCAGGACTATGAGAAATGGATTTGTGAAGGGTTCTCAAAACCTGACTGAAAGCTCACACAGGCTTGCACATCTGTGTGCAAACTCCGAGATAAGGTGTGCTGATTTAGGAAGGCCATGGAATGGAGATGACATTCCTGAGAGAGAGATTGAGCTAGGGACAAGTTTCAAAAGATGGCCTTGGAAAAAGACCAGATATTTTAGAGAATTAGAACTGTGAAAGATGCATTGTAGCAAGACCACATGGGGTGGAATAATAGGTGATTATAGGCGATTAAAATAACACGTCATTGGTGTTAGAAGTATTAGCAGCATTGCCTGGCAAAAGCTAATAGGCTGAAAAATATTTATAAGGTATATATTTATAAGATAATATTTATAAGGTAACCAGGAAATAGGCTCCAGATAGATTGATGTTGAGTTTTTCATCTCTTGTGTCTCAGCCTTCATCGAGACTGATAATGGAATAAAATCTTTTAAAACACCACTCAGTTGCTCTGTCTCTGTAGAGCTGGGATTTTCCAACACAGGACCTTGCACTTGGGCTTGTTCTTCATGAGATTTGCTCAGAGCCACATCTCCATCCCTTCTCTGAGCCTGGTGTCACAAAGCTCCTTAGTGCCCTGGATCCCACTGTCCTTGTCACCAACAAGCAGTGCCGCCCCAAGCCCCAAGGAACACCACTGCAGTGCCACCATACAGGTAATTCCTGACCCACCAGGTGGCCCATCCATCAAACCCAGGTACCAGAGACAAGGATTGTGTGGTTTCCTAAAGTTCCTTGGTCAGGCCAGCTCTCATCTCTTGGGAATCTCCCTTTCCTCTGCCAGGAGAGATCTGGTCCAGGCCTGGGAAGGAGCTGTCGGTGCTGAACTGATGTTTGCAAACTTTCTGTGCCTTGCCAAGCTTGGACCAAAGAGAAAATGTCTACAGCCATGGTGTTTGTGCAGGAAAACTTCTCCTGTGTGGGGATGAGAGGGGTGGCCTTGGCTTGGGCGTCCTTGGTTTGGATTCAGCAGGAGCCATCAGCTCAGTGGTGTTTCCCTGGGCATTGCCCTCACTACAGAAAGATATTGAGGGGACGGAGAGTGTGCAGGGAAGGGAATGGAGCACCAGGAGGGACTGATGGAGCTGGGAAGGGGCTCAGCCTGAAGGAAAGGAGACTCAGGGGGGACCTTGTGGCTCTGCACATCTCCTGACAGGAGGGGACAGCCAGGCGAGGCGAGGCTCCCACAGAACAGGGACAGGAAGAGAGGGAACGGCCTCAGGCTGTGTCAAGAAGAAAAATTTGGGAAATTTTAGGGAAAATTAGATAATTGGGTTGGATATTAGGGAAAATTTCTTCACTGAAAGGGTTGTCAGGCCCAGGGCAGTGGTGGAGTCACCTGGAGGGATTTAAGAGATATGGCACTTGGAGACATGGGATTCTGTGGCAGTGCTGGGTTCATGTTTGGGCTCGGTGACCTTGCTGGTCTTTTCCAACCTTAAGGATTCTACAACCCAGTGATTCTGTCCAGGTGCACAGCTCAAACCCCCGGGAGCTTCAGGCAGCACAGCCTGGAGAACTCCCATATTTGCCAGACTTGGCCACAAGCAGTTCCAGGCGGACAATTTTGTCTGTAGACACCAAACCCTAAATCTCAGGTCCATCCCCTAAACTCTGCACGGTTTTTAGCCCTCATTGAAAGCCAGGAGGGCATTGATGGGATTTTCCTTAAGAAGCACCAATTACATCGAGCTCTGCTCTTCCCAGAAAGCGCCGGGTGCCTTTTACAGCCTGGGACGGGACTCAATCACTCCCCTGCTTTTGAAATGCAGCCACCACTTAAGAGCACACAACAGGAAGCAAATCGCCTTGTATCTGATGGTAACCACCTGGGGAATGCAGGCAGGCAGGGCCAAGGAGCTCAGCTCTGGCCCCGGGGCACCGAGCTGAGGAGTTTTGTCTCTTGAGAAAGTCGCAGCCAGGTCCCTTAATGACTCCACGAAATTAGGGCACTGGCTTTAACATCTCCTACCCCCCTAAGTTAAGGCAGCGGGTTCAATATTGACGCAGATGGAGCCGTGCCATGGTGTGAGTCACGTCCTGCCACCTCCCAAAAGCCATGGGACATGTCCTGCCTTCCCGGAGCATCCCCGAGCATCCCCAAAACATCCCTGGGATGCAGCCGGGGGCGGCGCGGCTGCAGGAATGGAGCAGGAGCAGCATGGAGATGGAGATAAGCGGGAGGAAAGCATGCACTTGTGATGGA